CTCTGCCCGTCTCAGCACGATGGGGTGCAGAGCTTTCAGCCGCTCTGCCCCCAAACTCTGGGACTCACTTCCACCCGACAGCCGTAATATTGACTCTCTTCCCACATTCAAAACTCATCTCAAAACCCAGCTATTTAAAATTGCATACTAAGTTTAAACTCATCTCTTCTTTTATTATTGATAATTTTATCTGTGGTTTTATTGTTCTTGTCTGATTGTAAGGTGTCCTTGAGTATTTTGAAAGGCGTTTATAAATAAAAGGTATTATTATTATTATTATTTTTATTATCATTATTAACGTTAGATGACACATAAACAAGGAACGGAGAACGTGCCTGGTATGTTCACAAAACATATTAATAGTTATTAAGATACCTATAGCATAAAGAACATGCTAAAAGTCTATCAAACCATTAGTGTCAATCCAAATCACTAAATCCAACGAAACCTTCATCCTATGTGTCACTTTTTAACAATTCCGCCAATTTCCTCTTCTACGTCGCTTAGGTCAGAGTCGTCGCCAGTTGCAGTTCCACTCCAGCCTTCCTGAATTCTGACAGGATGGTCCAAACTTTCTTTCTCCTGCTCGATTACTGTTTTCGGTTGCATATTTCACTACTTGCATCTTGTAATCTGCAGAATATGATTTTCTTTTCGATGCCACTTTTGTTCAGCCCTTTTCAGTTGTTTTTATTCATTACAGGTAGTACTGTATTATTTTAAATTACCGCCAATGTTGAAATCGTCAACACGTACATAGTGCGCCCTCTTGCGGTTTAATGTGAAAACAACATGTGAAATGATACTATCATGCAGTGGTTCTTAACCTTCGAGGTACCGAACCCAACCAGTTAATATGCACATTCACCGAACCCTTCATTAGTGAAAAATAAATATACGGTGTATATATATTTTTTTTTTTTTTACAAATTCAAGATATAAAAAACGCATTTATTAAAAACAGAAAAAAGTAAATACAATTTCAAGAGATAAGTATACTTTTTTTTTTTTAATTGTATGACTTACTATCACGACAGTCACACATTGACTACGAAGCGAATTAAATTTCCCACAGCACTGATTGGACGAGCAATGTAATGTGATCATCTGCAGCTAGTGATGGCCAAGCGGGCGTGTCATAATGAATTAACATGTTGATTCGGGTGTGTCTTAACCTCCATTCCAGAGGCTCCGTCGAACCCCTGAGACCGATTCACCGAACCCCTAGGGTTCGATCGAACCCAGGTTAAGACCCACTGCTATAATGTGTTAATAATTTCACACATAAATCGCTACAGAATATAAACCGCACCCTTGGCCAAACTATGAAACAACTGCGACTTAGAGTCCGAAAAATACGGTGTATGTAAGTCTTCTTTCATCACAACCATAATACTCTTTGGGGCTTCCTCTTTGCCACCTTGCTGGTGGCTGCATTTCTCGCATCTTCCTGCTAACATAGTTTCCCTCCACTACACACAACCGTACTTTCTCAATGTAGCCTTTCTTGGATTGTCTCCAAGCCCTTCTAGTCGGTCTTATCTCTCTGATGAGGAAATTCCTTATTGTGTACATCCTCATCATTCCAAAAGGAAATCTCAGGATCTTCAACTTTGGAACCTTGAGTTGTTTATCTTTATGGTCATTGCTGCCGTTTCCAAACTATACAACATATCATACTTGGCTGGTCTTACTACTGTCCTATGAGTCGCTCTTTTTTGTACGCTAGTTATGTTCTTTCACAGATCACCCCTGACAGAATAAAGGTCAACTCCAAGGTAAAACTACATTAATATCAGATTGCACCATCCATCACCGTGTGAGCCAACTACTTGGATAACGGGAAAGGAGGACACCACTGTTGAAAAACAAAACAAAACATAACTGGCGTGTGTTAAACTGCATCTTGACAAGTCACAGAGCTTCCAGGAATATGTCCTAAGGACATATATATTTCTTGTTTTTTTTTTTTCTCTCTAGTGACAATTTTTTTGTGTCTGCATCTGAGGAGGGAACCTTCTTGTGGCATACAACGGTTTCTCAAACACAAATATTACAAAGTTGATGTTGCAAAATGAAACCAGAAGATGTAAATGTGGTGTCACTATTTTTTTTTTGGAAAAAAATGCATTATTTGTCACTCAGATAAACCGAATACCTGCATGATCACAAAAATAAGACTGTAGTTAGAAGGAGTTGACACTGGAATTCCCAGCATACCTTGGGGTGCCCTTTATTTCGATATAGTTATGAATCATTTCGGGTTTATTGTTGTTAACTGATTCTTTCACAATGTATAACCCAAGGTGATATTTGTTTTGTGCGTTCACCCACATCATTATTTACTAATTCTCATTCGATTTCATTTCGCACTTTAGGTTTGTGGGGTGTGGTGGTACATCGCTTCTCTGGGTTTCAGAAAGCCGCCTGGTGACAGCCGGGTGGTACAAGCATTGCAAGTCAAATGTATGTAACACACACACACACACACATCTAGTCATACCTCGGTTTTCGACCATAATACGTTCCAGAAGGCTGTTCAAAAGCGATTTGTTCGAAATCCGAAACAATTCTATTAGCCCATGATTCTGGGCTGACCATCATTAGTGGCTAATACACTATGCAGAAATAAAAAAAAAAACAGTCAGATTTGCATAAATCTCAAAAAACACGTCTGCTCACAATGAACGTTACATGAGGAAGCGTCACTTCCTCGTGTAAGGAAACCGAGAGGAGTCGAGTGGCGTATTCGGGTTTGCTCAGTTTGGTCGAAAACCGGTTTTTGGTCGTAATTCGAGGCGTAAAAATCTAAAATTTTCTGGTCAAAATCCGAGTTGGTCGATATGGTTGTATATCGCCATGTAATCCATCTCTCCTGCTAGCGTAGGTTAGCGTGAGACTACAGTGTATTAGGACTTGAAAATCAGGTTACATCATTACCTGAGCATCAGAACTCCATCATAGACTGAGGCCCCCTTGCAATGTATTTTTCCTCAGCAGCACACACAGCAAATACAAGCTTTGAGATCGTCGGACATTTAGCTTTCAAGAAATAATCACGGTTTACTATTCTGTGTGAATAGCAAATGGAACAAAACCACAAAAACAAACAAACAAACAAAAAAAAAAACAAAAAAAAACCAGCAGAGTGGACTCTATGGTGACCCCCCCCCGCCCAAAAACAAACAAACAAAAAAAACAGTTGTAGACTCTATTCAGTCTTTGCTGAAGATGCATACAATAAAACTGACACAGACCTGTGATGAGTTTCACGTTGATATTTCTTGAGGGTGACACCATCCATGTTGGCTGGGAGCGCTGCATAGTTCTGTAGACGGTCACTCCAAGAAGTCATCATCTTATACCGTTACAGTTGTTTCTGCAAAAAAGAGCTGCTTCAAGTAAATCTTTTAAGTCAAGCACAGGCAGATGCAAACACTGATTTAAAAGGTGGATAGGTTGCTTGCATGTTTTAATTTTGGATGGGTATATGCCAAGAAAAAAACCCCAAACAAAACAAAAAAACTTTAATCCACCAACCAGAGAGCAAATTTAGGTCACATACGTAAAAAGTGTGGCAAAAAAAAAAAAAAAAAATTCAGGTCATACTTCCATGTACCAACACATCATGAGAAAAGAAAGAACTTTTGCACACATAATGGAATTTATTGTGGATGACAACCAACTAGGCCAATTCAGAAATTTTATAGTATCAATTATTCAGCATCACATGACCGTGTAACAACCATCCATCCATTTTCTAATCCGTTTATCCTCATGAGGGTCGCGGAAGTTCTGAAGCCTATCCCGAGCTGTCTTCGAGTAGTTGACGGGGGACACCCTGTTGCCAGTCAATCGCAGGGCACACATAGACAAACAACCATTTGCACTCACAATCACACTTCGGGACAATTTAGAGCAGGGGTGTCAAATTCATTTCACATTGTGGGCCACATACGGCCAGCCTCGGTAGATGTCAAGTGGGCCAGACCATTAAAATTACACCATACTCTGCTATAATTAACCAAAATAATATGTCTTTTCCTTTGTTTTGGTCTAAAGAAGCACAAGAACATTCGGAAAATGTTGAAATTTAATGAACATATCTTTTACAAAACATTTCATGAAGCATCTTAGATTTCCTTAGACAAATGTGCAATTTTATCATTCACATATATGCATTGCAACTGATCCCACTGATTGTACAAAGGCTCAAAACTTGAACAAGTAATTGGTATTGAAAAATATAGTAATGCACATTAAGATTAAACTAGATTTATAAAGAAAGGAATTTTTCAACCATTTACACATGTGCGTATAAAATCTAAATTTAAACCCTGCCTACACCTTACAAACTAAGGAGAGCGCTATTAAATGTGTAAAGAATAAAGTATTCACATGTCCTTGACAGCGTCTGCTGTGTTGGGTCTGTTTCAGTGACAGACTGAGGTGGCTGTTGTCTTCTCTGATCAAAACAATGTTGTCTTCTACTCTGATCAAAACAGTGTGTACCCAAGCGGATACTCCACGAATTGCGCCTTATTAAAAATATTAATTCCGTGTCTTTTATGCATTTTTTTTTCACTTTTAAATTATCCCGCGGGCCTGATGCAACCTCCTAGGGGGCCTGTTCTGGCCCGCGGGCCGTATGTTTGACACCACTGATTTTAGTGTGTTCCATTGGCCTGCCATGCATGTTTGTGGGATGAGGGAGGAACCGGATTACCTGGAGAAAACCCACGCAGGCATGGGGAGAACATGCAAACTCCACACAGGAAGGCCAAAGTGGGAATCAAACCCTACACCTCTGCACTGTGAGGCAGACGAACTAACCAGTCTGTCGCCGTGCCGCCGACCGTGTAAAATATCGTCTAATTTACATGAATACTGTAGGTAATTGTTATGACCATCTTTTTTTTTTCGTGATCTTTTATAATTTGACACTATCACATTTGTGTGTACACTGTCGCCCTAATCCCACGAACAACAAACATGAAACAGCATCATCAGAGCAAGATTGCATTATGCAGGGGTACCCAACCGTAGCCCATATGCTTTTATTTTTCCAGTACCACACTCGGGCATTTCTTTGCGTTTTGTGATCAAGTGACGACACATAAAACGCATAACAGAATTTCCGTTTCTCATGTTTTCAAAATAAAACAACTCTGCAGAGGAACTCGGTAATGATTTTTTTGATTTGGAAATTATGATTGCGGGACATGATGATTGCGGGATATGAGGATTTGTTTCTTGATACTTTTGCAGAATTCTTTCACAATATTCTTCTTAAGTTTAAAGTTGATCTTCCATACAAGAGCAGATTCGAGGCGAACCTAAAATTAGCTTCATGCTAGTTAACATTGAATGTCCGGTGCTTCTCGGCCACAGCTAAACTGAGCGAGACCAGCTGCTTGCAGTCAGTCACCTCGGTCTCCACCACGGAATGCTTATCCAAACATATGGTGGTATTGATTCGCTTGAACAGCGATGTTATGTTCTTAAATAGTAAGAATGACAAGAGGCACAGGAAGAAAGAGCAAGCACTCACATTCCACAGGACGGCGTCCAGTCGATGGACTGAGCATGCGCACGGCGTGTGGTTCTCCAAAACGTGGGTGGGTTCGTTACCCGACGGACCACTTAAGGCAGGGGTGTCAAAGTCAAATGGACGGAGGGCCAAATAAAAAATTTTGCTCCAAGCCGAGGGCCGGACTGATCGAATGTTCATTGAACATTTTTCAACCTACCGCATGTAGTTTATTGAACCGAATTGAATCTCCTGAAAACCTAACAACTTCATTTCAATATGATCAAATAAAGAAAGCAACATTTTCTTATGGCTGTCAGTAAACTTTAATTTTCAACAGGCACAAAAGACAAAGTTTCTTTGGATAAAAATACCCATCAACATTGAGTGAAAAGAAGCACTAGCAATAGCCCATATTTTCTCTTTTAGCAAAATTGGGC